GTCCTTCTGTGTTTTTCATTGAGTATCATCTTTGGGCTGTCTGTAGATTCTAGGAATAATCAAGCATGTGTTTCAGCAAAGGCTGGGGTCATCCTATAAGTCCTTGGGCCTGGAGGCTGCAATGGCTGCTGATGGTGGACATCAAAATGTCTAAATATGTGCCTTCCTTAAAAAAGCCACAAAGCTTCCTTTGTTATAAACCTAAGAAACATATAGCTTTAATGGTTTGAGAAAACCTATCCTTTTTTCACCTCTAAATAAGGGTGTCAGCAATCTAGGTCATTTTTTTTAAAATATGTCTTTATTTATTCACTCTCTTCTTAATAGCTTCATTCCAGCTGATTTAAGACATCAATCTCATCACTCCAGGCATTGCCCTACTTCAGAGCCATCCAGTATTGTATGCTCTCTACCCAGTCTGCCCCCAAAAGTAGGTGGCCTAGAATAAAGAGGAGAAAGTAAAAGAGAAAACAAAGGGGGCACTTTCCTCTCAGGCCAGAGCCAGACAGACCAGAGAATCATTCGCCAGTAGCTGTTGAGCATTGCTTGCTGAAGAAGTGATAGGGTCTTAGAAACACATTGGAAGCTCATTAATCTCCCATCTGTCCTCCTGGCTCCTGCCCCTCACCTGCTATTCTGCATCTTAAACCTTTGAAAGAACTATCTCACAACAAGGATGAGACCAAAGCAGAAGCTTAGAATAAGGGAGAGGTAGACACCATGAGTCTCCTGGATATGTCCCTGGCTCTCTATGGGATATCTACAGGTCATGAATATATCTATAGGTCATGAGGTTATCATGAGGATATCAATGGGATATCTGTGGGTCATGAGGTTATTATGAGGATATCAATGAGAGATCTATGGGTCATAAGGTTATGAGGATATTAATGGGATATCTATGGGTCATGAGTTTATCTGTGGGTCATAAGATTATCACAGGTCTCTCTATGAGCTACGTATGGGCAATGTGGCTTGTAGCCCCCTCCATTTGAAGCCCTTAATGATGCTGGAAGTCACTCACCTAGGACACAAAGGAAAGGACACCCAAAAATGAATACGGGCCCAAGGGAATCTTCAAGGTTCATGGGTTTGTTGACTTATGAGAGAAATGTGGTTCAGGGAACTGTATTTTCTTTAGGGTTATGAGGAAGCAGTAAGGAGAAATTTCATTCCAAGATGGTTGGTTGAGTGCCAGCCAGCCCTCATGCCCACTCTCCATCTGCCCAGGCTCCAGAGGCAGCTCTGGGAGGGTGAACAGCAGCAAGTGTGCCATTGCCTCCAGCAACTACATGTTCCTATATGTCCTAAGTAAGGAGGTCTGAGATCTGAGGCGAAGCAGGAGAACTCATGCAGAACAGGCACCCTCTGTCACTCTTGGGAAAAGCTCTTCCCGGATTAGCACAGAGCAGCTGGTTGATCAGAAACATGGGGCCCATGCACCCATGGGGTTGTAGGCAGAACGTCGTGGGCATGGACCTTTTCTCAGGTGGGAGTCCACAGCTTCCATCAGCTCTTCCTGACCTCCCCCACCCTCCCTAACTTAGGGAGGAGGAGAGGACTCTGACCTTCACTGGCCAGACTTAATCTGAGAAAGGAAGACCTAGGACACATAGAGACTTCATGGCCTTGGATCCAGTTTCCATAAACACCTCCTCACAGATGACTTCTCTTATCCCAAGGCTGTTTTCAACCCCATCACTCTCACTGGCTCAGAACACAATATCTTACACACAGTAGGCACTCAGGAAATACTGTTGAACAAATGTGGACTCTAATGAGACCACTGCTAAGAATAGTGAAAGGCTTATGTCATGGTTCCCCATAAGAAAATGTGACATAAAAACCCTGAAATCACATGGTCATACTTACAATCATTATATGGCCTATGGATGGCTATTTCGCCATCATGCTTATGCCTTTCTCCTCCCTAACTTCATTTCACCAGTCCTGCCCCTTCTTACCTGGTGCAGTTTTCTTTTTCTCCTCCTGGGTGGTCATTGGACTTTCCTCTGCTGGTTTGGTTTCCTTTGTAGACTTGCCTCTGACGGTTTCTTTCTGGTTAAAGGAGTCTTTCAGGCTCCCTGTGATGGGGGCAAGCTCTGAAACACACAAACCTTTCCATCCTGCTTCTCCTAACAACCACTGTTTTTCTGAATATTTTCACCCTCAGCCACTGGGAAAAGTCTCCATCCCAGAGCCAGAATGGGTTTTCAGCTGTGGGTTCTATTTTTAGTAATTGCCAACTTCCTAGGAAACCCCCAATTCTGTCCCAGGATCACAAGGCCTCTGGGCTTCCTATCTGCCCCTACACTCCTGTCTTCATTGCCCTATGGTGCAAGGTTTACCCAGTACTGCCTGGTCTGTCAGTTGCTTGCTTTTCTAAGCCTCAGACAGCCACTCTTCCCCCTACACTTCTAGAACCCTCTATAGTTATTCCTACAACCTCATTTACCACCTCACATTATAATTGCCTTTTTTTTTTTTAATCTATCCCCATGCTAGGATGGGCTTCCTATTCATAGCACAGTGCCTGGCACATAACAAGTTCATTCATTCACTCAACATTTACTGAGTACCTGTCATATGTGAGGCACTGTTTTTGGCATTTGGTCTGGTGAACAAACCAGACCAAAACTGCCTGTCCTCAGGGAACTTACATTCTAGCATGGAAGACAAACACGTAATAAATGAATTGGAAAATGATAAGCACCATGTGAAAAATGGCAGAGTATGTGGGAATGGAAATGCTCAATAAATTCTTGTTGAATTGAATTGAATTACGACATGGTTAAGTAGACTTACATTGGAAACTCTTCTTTTGCTCAGTGACTCAGTTCAAGCCAATGACCCCCAAACCCTGAACACAATTTTTGTGTTCTGTGCTATGGCTGCATTTGGTAGATTCCTTCAACCAAAATATAGTGAGCCCAGATAAATAGTATTAGATTTGAAAAGAACCTATCGGGGTGTAACACTTCAAACCAGTTAAACTAGGTGGGAGCGGCACTTCTCAACCTGCTTTACTCACAGCACACAGAGAACGTAGTATTTGTCCAGCATCCTCAGGCACATGGGTAAGGTTTCTTGGAGCCTGAGAAGGGTTGAGGAAGGTACTATCCCAGCCCACATGTAACTCATTTGAGACACCTAGCTTTAGAATCCCCTGGGTGATTAATGTGCAGAGTCATGAGGCTCACTGACTTGGGAGCAATCTGTGTCGTTAACAATTCTTCCAGATGATTCTGATACTGTGGTCTTCAGACCACACTTTAAGGAACACTGCCATGTAACAAAGCAGAGACAGGTAGTGAATCACGGTATTTGTCGTGTCCTTATATTTGAAGTTGAGAGCTATGGAGAATAGCTGTAAATCAGTGGTTCTCAAACTTTAACATCAGACTCGACTTGCTGTAGGGCTTGCTAAAACATGGGTTATTGGGCCCACCTACATAGTTTCAGGGAGGGCCAAGTATGTGCATTTCTAAACAGGTCAGGGCCACACTCAAAGATCCACTAATATCAATCATTTGGGAAACTTGTATAAGGAATTTGGAATCCTGTAAGGCAATTTCACAAGGACAAAGTTGGGGTTCATTTTAGAAAGATATGACTAAATCCTGCTTAGTCTAGTTGGAAAGCATTAAAATAAATAAATTTGAAAGCCTAAATCAGAACAAATTTCCTGTTTGATAAAAATTGTGCTCTGTAACTTCACATCATGTTTACACCTACCCTCCAGCCATCTATGTGCTGGTAAATGTTTAACCACCAGTTCTTAAGGGTAAAGGGTAAAGAGGGGGCTGATCTATGTCATTTGCCCACTCTGCCCATCATGACCAGTTTCGGGGTACCCTACTGACGTCAATGAACACAGTCCAGGGAAGAAATGCGTAGTGGTTCTCCAAAGCATTGGACCCAGCAAACCATTGCCTCCAGCTGCTGCAGGGGTTTGTCACCTGTCAGAGGCTGCCTCCATTATACAGTTAGGTACTGGTCACTGTCTTCAGGCTATAGGAAACATGTTTGCAGGTCAGGAACTATTGTCTGCATAAGTAACCAAAACGACAGTCCTTCCTGGTCCGTGGCCCAGACTGCTCGTGAAACACTGCAGTTTTGCTTCTAAATTCCAGGCCCAGCTCGGGAAAACCCCTGGGAAGGGCTCTCCTTCCTCACGCACCTTCAAAGGTTCTAGGTGTCCGGCTCCTTCAGGAAGAGCCAAGGCCCACCTGACACCAAGGTTAGGCTGTCCTGGGTGCAGTGGAAGACTCCATGCCACAAAAACCCAACTGACCTGAAACCACTCTAGGCTCAAGAAATCACTTTTTTAGGTGACCCACCTTACTAGATAAGTGAAAACATTGAAGAAAGTTTTCTGGTTCTGGAAAATAAAACAACAGAGAGAGCCAGAATTTAGAGTTCAGGTCAGGATCATGGGGAAGTATTTTGAATATCGATGGTACCAGTGGTGACAGTGGATCCTGGCTTAGACCTGCCAGTTTCCTCCAGTTCTGTCCACACCCTTCCTGCCTGCCTCCTCACTTTAACTCATTCTGCTCTCTCTTTCCTAACCTGCCTTCATCTTTCCAGATGCAGGACGCTATGGGCTATGAGTTACCCTGGGTGTATTTTGTCAGTCTGGTCATCTTTGGATCCTTTTTCGTTCTAAATCTGGTTCTCGGTGTATTGAGCGGGTAAGCTGACTGTTTCTATGTACTCTTTACAATGCAGCCGAGCAAGGTCCTAGGACCCACTATATCCATCACCAGGGTCCTCAGGGATGGGATCCTAACAGGCCAGGAAAACCAGGAAAAAAAAAAGTCCCCATTCAACCACAGATTCTGACCCAGTGTCTGGGCAGTCTGTTTGGCCTCTGATTTGCACCTAGAGGATCCCCGGGTCCCAGCACTGCTTAGGTCAGTGTTCAGGAGCCGGTGATGGGCACTTGGCCGTGCTCGGCTGCTGAGTGTGCCTCACTAACTATCATTCCATTCTTCCAGGTCAATGATGCCGTAGGAAGGGACTGGCCCTGGATCTATTTTGTTACACTAATCATCATAGGGTCATTTTTTGTACTTAACTTGGTTCTCGGTGTTCTTAGCGGGTAAGCAGGACCAAGGAAAAAGGTCTTGATTTTATTTTATTTACTCTTTCTGCTATTCCTGGCTTTATTCTTTTTTCTGGCTCTGATGAACCTGGGATAAGAGGCCACCTCGGGAGCCTTGAAGTGAATGGCCTTGGCCTGGCTGGACAGAAGATCAAATGTACAAGGATTAATCTGTTGGTTTGGGCTTCACGAGGAGATTCTTAGGTCCACCTGTCTCCTAGCTCATCCAACCCCCTCCCACCCTGAAGCAGCTAAGTAGGTAGGCAGGATGCTTCTCCTTCTACCTGAGGAGCTGTGTGGTGAGAGCCTTGAGTTGAAAGGGTTTGGCGGTAGGGATTGCCTTGCCAATAGGTACTTGCCTGATTACAGTTTGTGGCAGGCTAACAGTAAAGATTTAAGGTAGCTTTTACACATTGTTGAATGGACTGGGATAATAAGGGTTTTATTTAAAATATAAGTTAACAAATACAAACTAAAAATAAAATTTTCTTTGATTCTAATTCATAGACTCTACAGTCCGTGTCTTGTATGCCCTTTTTCTGAATGGAAATGGTGCTTAGCTGTTCAAAGCCATAGATTATTTGAGAATAGAGATGGAATATACTTTCCTTTAAATGTATCTACTTGGCTACAAGTATAAAGTTTGCCTAATTTTGGCCTTTGCTCTGATGAAGTTAAAAAGTGGTAGAAATAGCATATGTTTGGGCCATCTAGCTGCCCTGGGGACGGCCACCTTGACACTGCAAAGACTCACTGGGCCTTTCCTCAGCTTACCTTTTTTTCACAAGTCCACACCAGCCATGCCAAGCCCTAACACCTAAATGCTCCTGATGACCTGCTCATGGGTGACCTACTCTGCTGCCTTTGCTCCAAGGGGGAGGGGGACAATCTATTTCTGCCCTGCTCAAGACAGGTCAGCTGCTTTGAATAGCCTTTCCTATGTCTCTAGGGACATTAATGCTGGGAGAAAGTCAGGCATGACAGGAATGATTGCATTTAATTTTTACTAAGTACATGACCTGGGAACAGCTCCTCCCATCTCCTGCCATAGCCTAATGCCATGCAAAAGCATCAGGTTTAGTCTTGGGATTTGGTGAAGAGAAGAATCTGCTTCCACCCTCTCCTTCCTATGGTGGGTGCCTGTTAGGGACTTTGATGACACCGTGCCTTTTGCCAAGGTAAGGCCACACAGGAAACTAGGGTCTTCCATCAGGGATAAAAATGATGAACAGGATAACATAAGCCCCTGATTAGCTGCCTGGAAGATATAAAGGTTTTCATTTTTGTGTTACAACACAAGAAAATGCTCCTGTGTTTATATGAATCAAAGCATTGAAAAAACCAACTTCACTCCCACTCAAGACAAATTTGGATATCCCAGCTCTGCATTTGCTGGATGCATAATGTTGGGCAACTTCACCCTCCTGAACTTTAATTAACCATAAAAAAAAATGAAGATAATAATACCAACTCATAGATTGTTGTGATATTAGAGTGAGAGCGTTTGTGTAAAATACTTGGCATATAGTAAGTGCTCAATAATGGTGCTATCATGACAATGATTATTGTTTACTTGATGCCTATCATAACTGGAATTATTGCATAAAATCCTCAACCTTTTCCTTTTAAAGATGAGGAAAGTGAGCCCAGGTTTAGGTGATGTCATTGTGCTTCTAAGTATTAGAACAAGGACCAGAACTCAGGCAGAGCCTGGACTCCATCTTCCCATCACCATCCATTGAATATACAAGGCTTTGATAAGCTTTGAATATATAAGCTTTGAACCTTAAAAAAAAAAAAGTGATTCTACTTTCTTCCCCCAGAAATTAGGAACAAATCTAAGCAAGTAAAACTCCCCCCAGGAATCCAAAATGAAGAATCAGCACTAGCCAATGAAGGCCCTTCTTAAGCAGGATATCTACTCACAGTCATTCTTGCCGCCTCCCCCCAAGGAAAATTGTCTTCCTGGCAGAGAAGTCAAACGGCAGCAGCTGCTGATGTGGGAGAAAAATCGTTTCAAAGACCATGTCTTGGACCAACTCAGTCCCAAAACTTGTCATGTGGTAATACTCCCAACATGAATTGACTGAACAGGAACACTAAGGCTTTCAGACCTCAGAACTGTGAGCTCTGGAGTCCATATAGCAGGACACCTTCCCTGACCCAGTCCCAAAGAGGCAGTCTGCTCCTCACAGTTCTGGAATTGCTGATAAAACATCTTCCAAGGCTTCTTGGCTGCTGGGCGCACCCTCTGCACTGACAGAGAAGTGTCGATTGGTAGGCATCTCCCCTTCCTGGTTTGAGGAGGCCTCTTAATCAGTCAAAAGGGCTGGCCACTCTGAATGGCCTGCACTGGGTCCATGCAGTGACAAAACCTAGAATCAGCCTCTTGTTGGCTAACCACATGGTGGTAGCCATGGTTTCAGTTTTGGGTCAGCATCTTGATCAGTCAGGACAATATCATAAAAGTCATCACAAAAATGCAACAAAATTGCTTATTCATCAGTCAGACTTGATTAAACCAACCTTCCAAAAGCATCCAAAACAGTCTCAGAGCTCCACGAAATTCACTGTCCCAATGATAGCATTAACAGTAACCAGTCCCCATGGCAATCTCAGTGCATGAGCTTTTGGTGGATAACTCATTCGAGGCTCACAACAATCCTATGAGCTAGGTGCTATTTATATCTCCATTCTATAGAGAAGAAAACAGAGGTACAGATGAGGAAACCACTTCAATCCTTACAGGTGAAAATGGAGGATCCAGGATTAAATCCAAGCAATGTGAATCCACAGCCTCTATCCTTAACATCCATGTGATACGATCCAATCCCCAAACCCATTTAACTGGCTAAGCCCATGTTCCTAAATCTGAGTCAAGAAGTGGGGAAGTGAAGAGCAATAAGTGCAATGAGGAGGAGCAACAGGAATGGGGAGGAAGGTAGAAGCAATCCTTGAGACAGCTATTGGAAACAGCCACCGGGAACAGAAAGAGTCCCAAGAGAAAGCTCTAGAGCCCCCACTCAGGAGGCTGCAGCAGGGCATGGTTGTTTAACATGGGGGCTGGCAACCCTGCAAATGTTAATAGTCCTTGAGAGAGAACAGACATCCCTCCACACCAGCCCAGTAGAACTAAAGCCTTGGAGCATTTTGGAACTGGAGGGGCCTGAGACCCTACACGCACCAATTAAGGACAATACTATTTTACAGTCCAACACAGTAACACAGCCTCATAAATTATGTCCTTCAGTCACCAAGGAAAGGTTAAACTATGCCTAGAGTGTTCTACTTATGAAGGAAAGAGGACACTCTATAAAGAAAAATGTAAACATTCCAAGAGTTTGGTCACCAGACAGTTAGGCACCTTTATCTGGAACATTCACGTATTCAGAACATCTTTCTCACGAGGCCAGAGAGAGTTAATGTAAATCATATATATCGCATGGATTTTTTTAATTTTATTTTATTCTTTCAATGTTCCAAGATTCATTGTTTATGCATCACACCCAGTGCTCCATGCGAAACATGCCCTTCTTAATACCTACCACCAGGTTCACCCAACCGCCCACCACCCTCCCTTCCAAAACCCTGTTTGTTTCTCAGAGTCCACAGTCTCTCATGATTCATCTCCCCCTCTGATTTCCCCCAATTCACTTTTCCTTTCCTTCTCCTAATGTCCTCCATGTTATTTCTTATGCTCCATAAGTAAGTGAAACCATATGATAATTGACTTTCTCTGCTTGATTTTTTTCAAAATGGTTTCATGTTCATTATCTATTGATCCTCACAAACCACAGGACTGGTATTAGCACAGACAAGAATTGGATTATATTTGCTTTTCTCTCCAAAAATCTCAGTCTCCAGCCTACTAAAATTACAGCAGTGACAATGAGATTCTCAAAATTGCACTTAAGCTATGTCAGGTAAAAGTCCCCAGACTCTGGAATCTGGTCACTTTTTATTTTAAGTGATTGCAAACTGAGGACATCAGACATGTGCCTTCAGTAGACAAGGAACTCAGGATCTCTTAGGTGGATAGTCTTCTTTCTCCTGTCTTCTTTCCTCCCAGGAGATGGGCTTTTCTCTCTCCCCAAAACAACAGGGGGCTTGGTGATGAAGCATGTTGCAACCTGAAAACACAACTGGACCATGGCGCTGTAGTTAAGACACAATGTCTGGGACCAGAAGGATCCAAGAGAAAGGCCGGGACATGCATTCTTTGTGGATGGATAGTCACATTCATTATCTGTGTAGTTATGGTCTATGAGGTCACTATGAACACTGAATTAATGAATACTAAGCCATTACTCTTGGACTCTTGGGAGAAATACAGGAGAAATGCGAGGATCCTGGAAGCCTCTAGTCAGAACATTTGTGTCAACCAACCAATACACAACCTTATTTTATGTGTGTTTCTGTTTAAAGGCATCTTATTTAATATATATTGTTGATTCATTAACATGAGCTCATGGCCAACAGCACTCTAACTGATGCCTGAACAGAGTTTATCTGACACATGTACTTTTTCCCTAAGGCACATCACAACCTTCTCGCACTTAGGAACTCTAGACAGCACTGCAGCACTGTGCTTGGGGACTATTATTTAACAGAAAAGCCACCAACAGAAAGCACAGAGATGTGACAAACATGGCACTAAAGAGATCATAAAAAGTACACTGTTTACAGTATGAGAACTGAAACAAGAAGGCAGAGTATTGCCGTGTTTAACTTCAGCTGCGAATGTGACTCCAGTTTTTTGCATGTCTGCATAGGACCACAAAGGTACACATACATTGATCTGGGAGTTACAAATAAATTTTAGCGAGTAAGCAAATTCGCAAATACAGAACCTATGAATAATAAGAATCGACTGTTGATCATCAGAGGGCCCAGAGCCCCAGCGTTCTGTATTGATTGGGTTTTCTACATACACCTCCCTCTGCATGCTTTACATTAGTGAGACTGGTCCCCAGCTCTCCATTCCACCCCTCATTTTTCATGTTGGCCATTGCTGGCAAGAGCTGTGTTCCTGCTTTATGACAAATCCCATGGCTGTGACTGAATGTCTAGCCAGCTCTGGTCCCTGGGCCCAGCACAGCCTGTCAGGCTGGGGCTTCATGTCTTCATTAGCTCAGTCCCCAGAGCAGGCATATGGCTGGCATCCAGGCGAGAAGATAAAGAGAATCAGATACCACCACCCAGCAAATCCCTTACTGAGTGGAGTCTGGAAAAAGAAACCTTGGCTCACCTTCCGTCCAGCCACAAGCCAAGTTATGCCCCTCATTCCACTGGAGCCAGTGGAAGCCAGTAAGGCTTCAGATCTGACCCTGTCTCTACTCCCTTCACACCCCGAATACAACCTCATTTTCTTTTCTCCTTACAGATGTTTATGTTAGCTCCCCAGAGTCTTAGGGTGTGGATGATGAGCTTTCATTCCACAGGGTAGATGCTATAACACAGGACTGGGTCAATTGTTCCTACTCCAGTTTGATCCCAGCCCTATTCTCCTGACTCCAGAAGAAGGATGGGTCATTGTTCTGTAACTAGAACTTAACCCTCTGTGAAATATTCCAAAAGAGCTAAAGTGAACCTTCTGTTATTCAGTCTCCTGACAACCCCAAACCCATTCCACAGAAAAGAAATAGAGAATGCAAATGTGTGTGGGCAGAAAGTCCAGAGAAAGTCTTGGAAGCACAATTGTTGGAATCAATTTGCATGGGGAAGGAACTGCTGTATAAAGTGACTGTCTCCAGAGAGCAAGTCTACAGCCAGGTGGTATGACCAGATGTAGGGGATCTATCCATGCTCATCCCCAACAGCAAAAGGAGGGAGGGAACAAAGTGAGGCAAAGCTTCCATCTTCATTCTGAGCTGTCAATCTGGCCTTTTCCCTGGCATTAAACTCCCTGGGAAGGAAATGAAGGTACCTGCCAGTTGGCAGGAAGCCGGAGAAAGAGCAAGTTCAATCCAATTAGAATTGGATTCAATCAAATTTAGGAAGAAAATTCCATCCAAAGCAGAGCATCATGAAGACAGCAGTTGAAGAAAACTCATTAGCTTGAGAGTCCCCACATCTCCAAATTAAAAAATTCCCTAGACCACTCCCAGTCCTAACCCCTTTTTATCCACAAAAATGGTGAAGTCTAAAAATCTGTGCTCTCCTAAGCAACACAAGCAAAATGCAAATACTAAATGGAGGTGGTGGTAGAGCCGTTCCGAAATGACTGAATGGATTCAGGAGCTTTCGTCTACCTGTGGCTTGTTGCTGCATCCTTCCTTCTAAGGTGCCTTTCAAGAAATTCCTTCAAGGTGGTTTCTGCAGCCTCCTGCCCTGAAGAGGCCTGTACTGGTGAAAGAAGGAGGAATTCTGTCTCTGTGAATTAACCAAGATGCCCAGTGCATGTTACCCTCTCACATACACACATATATACACACATATGTGTGTGCACACACACCACTGAGGGCCCATTTCCCATAAAGTGAATATCAAAAACCAAAATGCTCCTAATATACCTATTTTGGAAGAAAAGACACAGACTTGCTTTGAGAGTTGAGAACTAGCCTTCTTGATCAATACATTCTGCTGCCAGCAGAAAGTGAATTTGAAGTCAGAGAGAAAATCAGGACAGAATCAGAAAATAGGAAAGAAATACCATTCTGTCAGAAATTTTTCAATAGGCCTTTCTCCCAGCAAATCCCAATCCAATTGCAATTTCTACCCATTATTGTTTTAAACTGAATGCATCATTTAACTTTCATATCATCTTGCTTTTATGTATTTTTCCAGCCTGATTAGATTTCTTTTTAACTATAAGGGCAGCCCCCAGGACATTTTCTTGTGTTTAGAGTCCTCATTTGTCTCCTTGTGGGGAAGAACTTTCTCTAGATTAGAAATCCTTCCAGGCATGTTAAAAGTGGCAAAACAAACTCTAGAAATGAGAAGAGAGGTTGAGGTGGTTAAACCTCCTGGGCCTTAAATCAGTGGTAAATATCTACCAATTGGCTTTTGGGGTGGGGGGAGCCCTCGTTTATAGCATTTGCCAATTTTCATGGTGTAAATATTCCCACCATGGCCAATTTCAAGCCACAAGGAGACATCAGTGAAGCTAGAACAGCAAAGAGCCATGTGTGGTAGGCTCCTGGGAGCCAGTGCGGGTGAGTGGGCTTCAGCATGCCACCGGCCCTTAACGCCTTTGTCACCCAGACATACTTTGAGGTTTTCCAGTGGCCATCCAGTTCCAGCAGGAATGAAAGTGCACAGTCCCTAACTGTCATGGAGGGGTTTTAGTGACCGTTTGAAAGGGGTTTCTGGGTCACGGGAGAATAGTTGTTATTAAAAGGCAAAGGCCATGACTGTGATCCAAGAATGAGGGAAATGGACTTCATCCATCCCTTTGTACTCTGTTGGCCTGCGTCAGGAATGTCTGCTTTGGTGACTTTCTGTTTATGTGAGAATAGAGACAAAGCCTGGGATGAGGAGAGAAGGCTGTCTGTGGAGAGCTGGGACAGGTGGGCGGGTCTCTTGGTGTGAAGAAATTAATCCCTTTGTTTTCTCTTATCTCCATCTCTCCATCCGCCCACCTGGCCTTCCTCCTTCTTGTATGCTGCCCTGCCCCTCTGCTCTCACTCCCCAGAGAGTTTTCCAAAGAGAGGGAGAAGGCCAAGGCTCGGGGAGATTTCCAGAAGCTTCGAGAGAAGCAGCAGCTAGAAGAGGACCTGAAGGGCTACCTGGACTGGATCACCCAGGCAGAGGACATTGACCCCGAGAACGAGGATGAAGGCATGGATGAGGAAAAGCCCCGAAACAGTGAGCAGTCTTTCTGTCTTGGGTTAGGTTCCGGGAGAGGGAGGAGGCAGGGGCCAGAACAGCAAGACTGTCTATAACCAACTTGTCCTTATAGTTTGTCTTGCTGGAGCAATATTCGATGCATTGATGACAATCATCTCTACTTAAAGAAATTCGTCACAGATGTGACATAATTGTTGTTGATCTGTAAAGCTTCATATTCCTTTTAGAAAGATTCTAAAAGACGGTTGAGGTTTTGCTAAGGTGGACTCTTTTTTTTTTTTTTTTTAAATCATACATCCTCCTCCAGGCTCATCTTTTTGGGCAGGAGGCAGATTATGGTCTTCCCATTAGAGTATTAATGTCCTATTGTGTAGGAATGTATATACACATATATCCTAACACACATATATAAAGATATGAGTTTAGTTTCTTGTCCTTATTAGCAGGCATTATGTCCATTGTGTTCAAACTCCCCAGTTGGGTTCTGTGTGTTTCTGCTCATTAGTAACTGAGTTCTAATTGGGAATCTGGGAGAAGGAGCAGGTGGAGGGAAGAGGGAAGAAGATAGTCAAAGATGTGAATAGAGAACAAAATCTCTGCTCCCTCATTTCAAAGACTGATTTAATACATCTATCAACTGTTCCCTTTCTGATAATTCTGCTCAAGGTACAAATACAAAATTAAAACACACAAACAACAAGAGACTCATAACAACATAATTTAATAACCTAAGGAGACCTTTATGCTCTACTAAGTAGTTTTGCAAGTTCAAAGACAGCACCTTTGATGGATTGTAACAGTGAACAATGATGCCATTTGAGGGTCTTTCTGGAAAAATGCCTGGCAGCTTATATTATACTGTTGATGGTACTGTGGAGTAGTTGATTCGTTTGTGGACTGAATGGTATGGTGAATAAATAAATTTGCCTGTGAGTAACAGAGAAGCTTACCTCTAAGGCACAGGAATTGGCATCTTGGCTCCTCTCTTCACCTTAAGTCGGGGTGAAGCCCCTAACTCATGATTAATGGTGATGAGCATGCTTCTTACTGTGTTATTTAAAATGTGCAGTATCCCCTACTCACTTGGCAATTAATTGCCATCCAAGAGATGTATAGTTATTCTGTTCTCTGGCTAAAGCCAGAGCTTCCAAGGAGAAGTATGCTGCTTCCTTGCCTTGCCCATTAAGTGAATAAATTTCAGGGAGTTTCCAGCATGGAGTATTGTCTGCTGCTAGAGCAGACCACATTGACAAGTCCCATTTGCCCACACTGCTGGCTAAGCTTTAGGAAGAGCATACTGAACTGCATACCCCAATGGACAGGGTCTCTGCCTCATTTTCATAAGCCCAAATACAGAAGAAATCAGACTCCGGTGGCTCTTGTGTCTCTCACCACATGGCTGGAGGACACTTTTGAGTCTGCTTCTTGTCCTCAATCAGTCTGTCCTGGGAGGATGGAATGGGAGCCTAGCTCCTTTAGTTGTGGAGTTGATGGTGGAACAGTTCAAGGGGATGGGGCAAGGGAATAAGTACTCAAAAAAGCAAGATATAGAGAGTAAAAAAAATAACACTTGCAGTGAAGTGAATGTGAGAAACTTAGGAATGGAGCCAGAAAACGGGTCCAAAAGACTGTCTATTGGAGAATTCCAATTACAAGCAGAGTTGATGTGATTAAATTATTAAGGAATTGGCAACCTAACAGATCTGTAGGAAAGGCAAGTCTATGGCTTCAGAACTATATTCTCTTCTTCAGAACTTCATAATTTGCCCTTCAAAACAAATACAAGAGGAGAAGTGCTGCTACAAATTACATGTGTGTCTCAAAGTAATATCTTGGCCTTTGAAATTGCTCAAAGATTACAGTTTAGTATATTTGCCAGTTCTTTGCAGTTCCAAAATTAAGTAGCCTTTTAAGGGAGAAAGGGTATTGTCACTCTTCATCGATGGTTCTGGCAACTTCCAGGCAGAATCCCCATCAGCCCTTACTAGACACACCGGTGACCCAGAGTTGGCTCCAGCGCAAGGGAAGTTCAATGGCACATTCTGTGGTATCTGGGCTTATCAAGAGGGGATCCAATGACTCATTTTTTTCTAGGCAAACCTACAAAATCACTGAAGAAGTTGAAGGAACAGGGGTTGGGAAGACAACAGAGTAAAAGGACATAGTAGGGAAGCATTTCTTTAAGTTATCAGAACAAACAATGTGGCCAGTAAAATTATATGCAAAAATATATTCTAGTTCGTTCTTTCTTCCTTCCCTCCAACCATCGATCAACTAAGGGCAACTCTGTGCCAGTCATTGTTTTAGGCACTGGGGATATAGCAGTGAACAAAATAGTCAAACTTCCTTGCCCTCGTGGAAATTATATTCTAGTGGGGAGATGGACAATAAATTAAATAGTATGTCAGATAATGACAAAATGACAAGTACTATGAAGACAGAAGTGTTGAGAGGTGGCCAGTAAATACCTCACTGTGGAGGTAGCATTTGAATTAAGACTTGAAGACAATAAGGAAATGAAACATAGATATTTGGGAAAAGAGCATTCTGGGCAGAGGGACTAGCCCATGCAAAGGCGTCAAGGTAGGAGGATGGTGGACATAGAAACAGAAGGGAGGCTAATGTGACCAGGTAGGAGTGAATAACAGGGACAGTGGTAGGAGATGAGGTTCAAGGTTAACCAAGAGTAGATCATGAAAATCATTGTAAGAATTTGGACTTTTACTAGAGGTGAGCCAAGAAGCCCCTGGTGGTTTCAAGCTGAGAAGTGACACAGCCTATATATGACAGGATCCCCCCAGCTGCCACGTGCAGAATGAAGTGGAAGTGAACAAGGGTTATGCAGGGAGCCAGATAGGCTACTGCCCTGGGAGATGGTGCTGCCTTATGCTGGTAACACGACGTGGTGGGTCAGGCTCCAGAATAGTCTCATTTGCTGGCATATCAGATATGGGATGTGAGAGACAGAGAATTCAAGGAGATCCCAAGGCAATTGTCCTCAGCAGTAGTAAGAGCTGAATCATCATTTATTGATTTAGGGAAGATGATGACAGGAAAAGATGTCAGGGCGGGAGTATCCGGAAAACCATCTTGGACCTTTAGGTTTAAAATTTCCATTGGACTTCCAAGTGGAGATGTTGAGTGTGCAACTGGGATAAATCTGAGTCTGTGGAAAAGCCTGGGCAGAATTATAATTTGCGGAGTCAATATTCACCCAGCTGTGATAGTAGGGTATAGTGTAGACAGAAGTGAGACACAGCCTAAGAACCTGAGTCCCAGTGATGTTTGGAGACAAGAGTGATGAAGAAGAACCAACAAGGGAGACTTAAAAAGGTATGGTCAGACAGACAGACAGGAGGAAAAGAGGGGGAGGGTCTGTGCTGCCCTGAGGCCAAGCTGGGTGAGTACTAAAAGCTGGTCAATGGGCTTAGCAATGTGGAGGCCACCACTGGGTGAAATGGTGAGGTTCAAAGCTGGAGGGCAAATGAGAGTCTTCTTTCATGAGTCTCTTGGGTCTAGATACTTCACAGGATGGTATCAGGCATTGTTGGCAGACCTCCTGTTATTGTGACACACGTGGTCTAGCTGTGAGCCATCTAAAGAAAGAGGAGAGGAAGAGATTCATGCAAACCAGCCTGCCTATATCTACAAGCCAGCCTTGCATTCTCTCTCAATCTTGAGTCATTTCAGTACTAGCCATTGCCTCTGCAATTGGCTTCAGACAGCCTTGGGAAAAGGAGAAAATGACACTCAAGAGCTATTTTGGTGCCAAAAAGAATAGAAGCAAGCAAAAGTCATGCTTGTGCACTTTGCATTTTTGATACCTCCAAAGCAGGCAGACGCATGGGTCTTGGCCTCCAAGCTCTACTCCTCCTGGGTAAAGACTGGGGTAATGTGGAACCCTCCCCCTCACTACTCCCCCTCCAAGCGGCAAGAAGACTCCCTTGTGAAGGCACCACTTACAAAACTATCACGGACACGGAACCCACTGTCATCAAGAGAGACACGGTGCTCCAAGGGCTGGACCCATTTCCCAGCTTCAATGTCAAATCGGACAGAAGGCCAGTCATTAGAGAGAGAGAAGCCATAGAGAAAGAGAGAAAGTCAGAAATTTCTTCTCTCTTTTTCCTCCTCAGGATCAAAAAACTGCACGTATTAAATATCTATCCATATGAGAGTGTCTCTATCGTGCCATTAAGACAATTTAAATGCACTTGCAGACCTCTAATGCTTGCAGTCTAAGACAGACATTTATGTGGATGAGCCTATAAAAGACAGACAGACGGTAGGACCAAAACATTGAATTTCCACATAGATAAGCAGGATTAAATATTTACGCCCATGGTGTTCAGTTATGTGACACGGGAGCCACTTTGGCAATCATCATTAGCTGACGAAGCCGCGTGACAGCTCTGTGCCCCGCAGAGTCTAGGGTAGTGGATTATTGAAATACAGAAATTTGAGGGCTTATGAGAGCTGCAGGTTGCCCACAAAAGGGCCCCGTGTGGCTTGAGAGCAGTAATCTGAATATCACTGATTTACATTATATACGTGTCAAGGGCATGTGTATCATTATTCCAACCTTTCCTTTTGTTTTACATTTTCATCAGTGAAATCAGCATTTACCCCGGACTTGACTTGTGGTCAGGGGTTGCCAGGCATCTGGATTTCTGTGACAGAATCCCACCAAGGATCTGGCTCTGCAATCATGAGAAGAAACACTAACAACTGTCTTTTCCTTGATTCCCTTCTCAGCTTGCTCCCTTTAGTTACCATGTGTTAGAGGACCTGACCGCATGCCTCTCAGTGAAAGCAGACTCCATGCAGACCCCAGAGATCTCTTGTCCCCTGTGTTAACTCCCACTGGTCCTAACTGGGGCCCTAAAACTTTAGTGTCAGAATGTGGCCTTAGAGATAAGGTGCGGAAACCAGAATCCAACACAGGAACAATAATTCACCTGAGTGGGTTATTAACAAGGGCAGGACTCGGACCCAGGTCCCATGATTATCCATATGAG